TTCATTTATTATTTAATTAAAATAATATAATTATTTTAATTAAATGATATATTTTAAATCATTTTAATAGAGTAATTTTATACTTATTATTCAGATAGAACAATAATTTTGAATTATTCTAATTAAATAATTTATATTTATTATTTAATTAAAATGATAATTTTAAGTTATTTCAATCAAACAATGTTTTATAATTGATTTAAAATGATAGTTTTAAATCATTTTATTTGAATGATTTTATAAGTTAGAATGATAATTTCAAATCATTCCAGTTGAATAATTAGATTATTATTTATCTAGAATGATAAAAATCATTTAATTGAACAATTAAAGTATCATTTAACTAAAAAGATAAAAAGTTATTCTAGTCAAATAATTAAAATATTATTTAACTAGAATAATAAAAAATTAACCTAGTTAAATAATTTAATTATTATTTAACTGAAATAATAAAAAAATTTATTTTTAATTAACAATTAAAATATTATTTAACTGAAAGATAAAAAATTATTTTAATCAAATAACTCAATTATCATTTAACTAAAATAATAAATTATTTTAATTGAATAATTAAGTATTATTAAATGAAATGATAAAAAAATTATTTCAGTTAAACAATTAAGGATTATTCAATTAAAATAATAAAAAAATTATTACAGTTGAATAATTAAGTATTGTTCAACTGGAATAATAAAAAAAATATTTCAGTTAAACAATTAAGTATTATTTAACTAAAATAATAAAAAATTACTTTAGTTAAATGATTAAGTATTTTTAACTAAAATGATAAAAAAATTATTCTAATTAAATAATTAGATTATTATTTAAATAAAATGATAAAAAATCATTCTAATTAAATGATTTAATTATTATTCAATTAAAATAATAAAAAATTATTTCAGTTAAACAATTAAATATATTTTAATTAAAATGATAAAAAAATTTTTTTTAGTTGAATGATTATATCATCATTCAACTGGAATAATAAAAAAATTGTTTTAATCAAATAATTAGATTATCATTTAATTAAAATGTGAAAAGATTTTAAACAAATGATATAAATACTATTTATTAGAATAATTGATATTATCATTTCAAATAAACTAAACTTTAAAATATATTGCCTTCAAATTTTATTTTATTTTGATATATTTTAACTGATTTTTAATATATATTAATCAGATATCAATCAAATATTAATTGACTATAAATAATATAGATCAAATTTTAGCCAATTTTTGATATATACTAATCAGCTATAAATATACTAATTGGCTAAAATAAAATAGGTTGAATTTTAGTTAATTTTTAGCTAATTTTTAATATATTCCAATTAGCTAGGTTAATTTTAATAATTTATTGATTTTAGGTTTTTAGATTAATTTATCACATATTTGATTTTTTGACTTTAATCAATAAAAAAAATACTAAAAAATATTAATTGATTTATATAGAAGGTTTTTAAAGTTTATGTATATATTTTTTATATAAATTTTAATCTTATTTTTATTAAGTAAGTAACTGATTATAAATAATAAATATTATTTCTAGAATAGTAAATTAAATTTTATACTAAAGCTGTTTATTATTTGATTAGATTACCATTTTTATCTAAATATATTACTAATATCATAAATATAATAAATATTGTAAACCTTACAAAAATCGTAAACTCTATCTATTATAATAATAAAAAGTTATTATTAAAATAACTTTATTAAGATTTTTTACAAGATATTCTTTTTAATAATCAAGAAAAAGAATTAAAAAAATTATATCTATTATCAGTTATTATCTATAATTAAACTATTAAATTTTATGATAATTTATTTTATATTTAAAAAAATGTCAATATAATTTGAATCTAAAATATGATAAATTAAAAATGATTAAAATATAAATGAAAAAATTAAGATTTTATTTTGCAAAATTAACTAATTTTAATATTTTGTTAATTAATAATTTAGTTTATTTTATATAGTTAATAAAATAAATATTATAACAATATAAAAATTTAAAAAAAAATTCTAATATTTAAAATTTTAATGAAAAATATTTTGTATAATAAAATAATTTTTTAATTAAAATTATAATAATAAAAGTAATATAAAATTTTTAGATAGACATTTTTTTATTTATTTAATATACAAAATTTTAGTATAATATAATATACAAAATTATTTGTTATATTATATTGAATATTTTATTATAATTTTAATAAAAATTTTTATATAATGAAGATCTAATTTTGAACGAAAAATTTATTATAAAGCAAATTAACTGTATTTAATATTTAAAAAAGATTAAATTTTTTATATTTAACTGTAAAGCAGGTAAATTTATCTGCAAACATAAACAAGTATTATTTTTTAATAAAATATATAATATTAATTTTAATAATATAATATAAAAAAGATAGTTTAATATATATTTTATTAATTTTCTTAGAAAATTTAAATTTATTAAGAAGTTTTTTATTTTAAAATTAAGAAATTATTATTATAATAATTTTTTAAAACTTTTTTTAAAATTCATATATAAAGATAGGTATTGTAATTAAAAAAAATAACACAATTAAGTTGTAACTTATGGTGCAATTAAATTTTTTTATGATATAATTAATGAAAATAATTATAGTAATCATCTTTATTCATATATTTATGAACTAATTGATCACTTTATTACTAATAAAAATTATAAAAATATTTTAGTAAATTATAAAAATTATAATAATTAAAATTATTCTTTATGATTATTTTATAATCCATTATAATTAATATTATTAAAAGTAAATGTTAATAAGATTAACAAAGATAAATAATAAAATTTTTTAAAAATTATAAATTTTAGCTTATAAGTAATTTTAAATTATTTATTATATAATTAAAATAAAAGTTATTATAATATTATATATATTTATTATAAAATTAATTTAAAAAAAATTTTTTTAATTTTAATTTTTATAAAACTAATTTAAAAGGAAATTTATAGTAAATAAATAAAAAAATTTGCTTATAAAATCTTATAATTTAGTAATAAAATAAAATTAATTAAAAAAATTAAAAATTTTTTTTAAATAATATTTTAAGGATTAGATTTTAATTATATTAAGAAGTTATAAGTAAAAATTAATTATAATAGATATTTTTATGAAATAATAAAAAAGATTAAATTTAAGTTATTGTTAATATAATTTGTAATATAGTATTAAAATTAGAATAAGTAATTAAAAATAATGATAAAAGGTTTATTATAAATTGTTTATTTATTTTATAATAAAGAATATATTTATAAATTTTTATAAATTTTTGATTTTTATTTATTATATAATAATAAAAATATATTTTTTATTATTTTATTTTAAAGTTATATATTTATATAATTATATAATGTATTATTAATTGATCTATATCTATATATACTGTATATATAATAATAATAATAATTTAATAAATGTAAAATAGATAATTTATTTAAAAATATTATTAATTAATTAAAAAAAATAAATTATTTATAAATAAATTTAAAATTATTCTTTAAAATATTTAATATCTAATGATTATAAAAAGATAAAATATAAATTTTAGTTTTATTATATTATAATATATTTAATAGTAGTATTTTTAAACTTTTAAAATAAATAATTATCAATATATATTAATTTTTCAATTTTTCAATTTTAAAAAATAATTTTTATTTAATAATTATAAAAAATAAACTTAGTTTATTGAAATTTATCATATTAAGACTTATTAAATAGTAGTATTTTTATATTTTTGAAATTAATAAATAGTAAAGATATATAAGTTTAAATTGTTAATAAAATAATAAAATAACAATTTTTTTTGCTAAAATTTTATTGAGAAAGAGTTTTCAGTAATTATTTTAATTATTTAGAAATTTGTAGTGAATTTGAAGTTAAAACAAATTTTATTTTATTTTATATATTTTATAATAATTTATTATTTATTTATTTTTAAAAAATCACTAGATAATTACATTTTTTTAAATTTTTACTTAGAAAATATCATAATTTATTATAAAAGTATTAATTTTTTATTAATATATTTTAAATTATTTTAAAATAATTAAAAATAATTGTAATTAATAAATAAATTGCTTGTAAGTTTGTAAACAAAATAATTGAAGGAATAGTATTGTCAATTTAAATAATTTAATAGACAATACTTTATGAATTTAAAAAGTATTAATTTTTAATAAAATATTAAATATTAATTTTAGTAATATATAGTTTAATATATTTTTTATCAACTTATTAGAAGAAATTTTAAATTTATTAAAAAGTTTTTTTTAATAATTTATTACTAATCAACATTATAAAATTTTTAATAAATCATAAAAATTATAATAATTAAAGTTATTTTTCATAATAAATTTTATAATATTCTATTATGATTAATATTAATAAAAGGAAATTTTAATAAGTTTGTTAAAAGATTAATGAAAATTTTTTAGCTTATAAATAATTTTAGATTTTTTATTATATAATTAAAAAATAAAATTACTATAATTCATAATTATAAAATTAATTTAAAATTTTTTTTTGATTTTTCAATAAAAGTAAATCATAATAAATGAGCAGGTAATTTTTATTATCAAAATACTATTCTTTTACTTTTATTTTATATAGAATAATTAATATAATAATGATTAAAATTCTGAATTATTAATATAAAAATATATAATTGAAAATATTTTAGTTATTAATTTTTGTCTTTTATATATATATACACATTGTATGTGTTTAAAAATAGTCAAATGATTAAAATGATTAAGTTTGTAAAAAAGTGGAACCCAACAATTCATCATTATAAAAACATATAAATTTGATGTCAAAAAAAACTTTATAAAACTTTAGAAATGATTTATACATAATTGTTTTTTTTTTTTACATCAAATTTTGACAAGGATTTCGTTGTCATCTTTTGATACATCATTTTTTTGAAGCAAACTTACAATAAGATCAACATTATGGACATTTAATTTGTAGAAGGTGCAACACCAGAAGCACCATCATCGTGATGAGTTATAGATTCTTCATTTACGTCATCAATACTATTTTCGTCTGGAGCGAAAAGAGTATTAAATTCGTCACCACCCATACAACCAAATAATTCTTGCATAATTACACCTAATCTTTCCAATTCCCTGATAATATCTTCCATCACGAGAGCATATGCATAATAAATGATATAATGTTCATCTTCAATAATACGTTGTTTAACGACAGGAAGATTTCTGATCTTTTTGACTAATCGTCGTCTCGCTTTTTCAGCAGGTGGTAGATAAGGTGGTAAGGGGGTCTTTAACCTTAAGGCAGCGGCAAGGATATAAAAATATAATAACACATTCCCAACCAATTCCTTCCTTTCTTTTGACATTGGTATAATAAAATCTCGACGAACCAACTTATACCACTCTTCTTGTGTCACGGCAATTCTCATTGAAAGTAATTTGTCTAAAATGTTTTGACATCCCGTTAAAATTTCACTATACGTATGTATGGGAAATGGTCCTTTCATACGTGGTTCATTTGGTGTTTGTGCCAATAAATCTGTAAGTTTAAGTAATGATACTTGTAAAATCAATTCCATGTCCATAAATTCTTTTGTTGATTGTGATAGTCGATGTGATGCTTGTGGTGTTAATCTCACTGTTGAATGTTTCGAAGAACTTGTCACATCACCTTCATTTGCCGGCTGAACTTCAGGCATAACAGAATAAACGGATACTAGTTTCTTATACAACCAGCTCATATTAACAAATAGTTGACTTAATCCTTTTCGTAATTCTACACGCGCTTCATATGGCCACCAATATGTTGTTACGAACACTCCCCAAATTATACCCGTGGCAACTGCAATTGCCCGATATCTTGCAATGTCAATAAGATCAAGATTTTCATCTTCGTTATCGGAATTTTTAAGATTAAACTTATATAAAGCTACTAAATTATAAGTCAATAGAATGAAAGTTCCTATTCGATTATATTTTGTATAAAGTATCATATGAAAGCATCCCATGGCAATAAAGAATCCAAGAATTGATATCACAAGCCCATTGTCCGGAAATAATGTGTAAATAACCCACGCAAGGTACGATCCAAATAATGTTCCAGCTGCACGGTATATTCCTATAAGATTTGTTCCCCCTACCGTTGGAGCCATCACGACCATCAACTAATAAAAATCAAGTAAAGTTAATTATCTCTAAAGAAGGGGGGAAAAAAATGCCCGAAAGAGATGCTCACAGAAATACAAGCCCACTCGCCACGATATTCTCTGTATATGTCTCTCGTCTCCTCAATAAACGCGGGACTTGCCAAGATGGCAGTGCTAACAGCGGCTTTAATAGCGTATTTAACTTCAAATTGTCTAAACCAAGAAAGTGATTGCCAAATTTTAATAGTAAGTTTGTGTGTTAAGGTTTTTGGTCTCGGAGTTTGAATCGTGTCAAATAAATTATTTGTATTTTCTGGAAATTTGTCTTTGGCCTTTTCATAAGATTTTTTGTCAAGTAACGAATCATTAGAAGCATCGAGTTTAAAACAACCAAAATAAATCCAAAATTGCCACCATTTTCTCGTTTCTTTTATCCCTTGTTCTTTTGCATCCAAATTTTGTATACGACCAACCAGGTCTATTAAATCCGTTAATTCCCTCGTAAATTCTTGTAAATTGAATACAAAAAAGTAAATTAAAAAAACTTCTTCGTTTGGTTTGCTATTCGTGTTTTCCTTACGATAAAGACCTGTAAGTGATCGTGATTGTGATTTTTCAAACAAGTTTAAAGCAGATTTTAAATTTTGTTGAAGTAATGTCGGGGTTGTTTTCGAAAATGCTGAAGGTGATTGAATAAATTGATCTTGTAAATGTGAGAGGGTTTGTTTACACGTGAACACTAAAGATTTCATTGGAGGTCCAACGAATCGAATGAAATCTAATAAGATACTCAAATCTCCGAATTCTTCATCATCTGAAAGGTGTCCACTTTGTCTTTGAGTTTTATTTAAACCTTCAGGCGAGTTCATTTGATTCGTTGAATTTTCATCACTTTTAATTTTCTCGTCTTTAATAATTTCCCATTGTAATCCACAACAACTTCTTAAACCACCCAAATGTTGTGCCAACCTATGTAAACTCTTGATCACCTCCTTATAAAGACCAAGTTGAGATCGCATATTAAGATTATGAATCTCAAGTGATGCTTGATAAAGCGATGCTTCTAATGATGTGAACGATTTCCTGTACGATGCAATCGCGGATTGAACAGTCTTGTCTGTGTAATGAATATCATCAATGAGGAAGGTCTTGGTAAGAAGTTTTAAAAGGAGGTTAAAGGATCCTAAAGTATTCCCAATCTCTGTCCTATTATGGATGAATTGTAAATTTTAGGTCATTGAATCCGAAGGCAATCAATTAAATCACAAGAGAGATGTTAAATCACAACTTACTTTAATTTCTTACTAGCGCTAACCGGCCAGATACATACTGAAACGAGAAAACTTATGCACGTTCCGATTAAAACGATTTTCGTCACACTAATGATTTTATCTAATCTAAATTCACCTAAATGAGTTGCCCCCTCCTTGGTTATAACTACAAATATGATAATATTCGCGAGAGAACATGCTATAAATTCATTGAAATAATAAGAAAAAATTTTAATTCATTAATTATTATTATTTAGGAAAAAAAAAAAAAAAAAATATTTGATCAAAGCCGTAGAATAACATACCGCTATTAAAGGTGGGCTTATTCAGTTTGGCTTTTAGAAAGGCCACAATAAACATACTTCCACCACACCAAAACACAATGGTTACGATATGTCCCAAAGTGTTATAACCCTGATCGTTAAACCAAACAGCACAAGCCATACTACCAATACCAACCAAAGATCCATATAATCCACCAATGAGAGCAAAAATGACCGCCTCGTAAATTCCTCCAACAGTTTTAGCAGGATTATAAAATACTGCAACCGATGCTATTAAATGAGAATCTTTTGATTCTACCAATCCCGACCATTCATTTAATATTGGTATAAAAGTAAACAGCGATGCGATAAAATACGCTAACGCGCATTTAATGATGTTCTTTTGATTCGGTGTAAAGGTATTTTTGTGAAACCAATCTTTAACTCTTGCCTTTAATGAATTGTCGTATTTATGGTGTTGATTCTGATCATAATTTGATTCGTCGGAGTCTGAATCATTACACTTATGAAGTAACGGTGTTTGTTCAGAAACTGCATTTCTAAATTCAAAAAAAAAAAAAAAAAAAAAAAGGTTATAAACAATGTTGTGGATATAATCATGATGAATTTTAAAATGGTACAAACCTTGAAGGTTCGGAAGTTAGAGAAATTCTTCTTCTTTGTTTTGAACCATCATCCATTATAACACTAAACAAACTTTCCTCACCGGGAGAAATGGAATGAGGATCATCATAAATCACACCACTCTGATAACTATTATCCAACCGAGCAGGCGAAGGAGTTCCGGGCAAGGTATCATTATAATATCTATCATTATAACTTCTTAAAACACTCCAAGGAACCCTATCGCTAGAATATGACGGAGTATAAGTAAATGAAAATGGATGTTCGGTTTGATTACGAGATCTATGAAATTTACGAGAAGTGGGGGTCGTTGGTGGACCCCTTTTTACTCTTCTTGGGAATGTTGATGATTCAGTGTGACGATCATCTTCCTCAATTGGTTGTAATGCTGAATCAATAGCAATTACATTATCCACGTTTGGTTCACCGTGCGCTTCTTGACTTTCTATCGTTACAGGCGGATCATAAGTTGAACCGAGGTTATCCTCTCTATATGGAGGAAAACTGAAAATTATTTTAAAATATGTGAATTCTAAGAAAGTCGTTTCATTAAAATATAATTAAAAATCGATCATTTTATCTTACTTCACGACACGACGGGATGGTCGTGGTTCCGGCACATTAATTGGGGCGGGATTTTGTGCGGATTGCCCGAATTCATTATTCGGTAAATCACTCATTTTAATAAAGATTTATTATTATTATTATATTCCCCCCCCTTTTTTTTTTTTTTTTCCAACAGAACAAAATTTATATAAATATATTATTTTTTTTTTCAATTTTCAATTTTTCACTCAAACGCCAAGAAATATGAAAGAGATAAGGAACTGCATAATCTATTGATCTCACGTAATATATAATTCTATACGTGGAAAAAAAATTTTTTTTTTTTTTACCATCAAATGAGCGAGACCTGAATTTTAGATCAAAGTCCATGAAAAAAGGATTGATCATTTCCAAAAATGTATAAATTAATTATTTAAAATATATCATTTATGCACAATAAAATCAATTTAAACATTTTAGTAAAACCTTTGACCCTTTCAAAAAAGTTATAGATCGTTGGTTGGAAATGGTTTTTAAGAATTAAACCAACTACGACACGAACATATAACATATTGCAGTTTTATTCAGAAAATCTTTTACAATTGTTGTATTATACAATCGCGGATTATCTATTCAATATTTAAATTTCACCAATAATTATATATAACTTCGTCCAGAATTCCTAGTTATAAAAAGTGAACAGATAGATGTAATTCGCGTGTAAAACTGAAAACCGTCTCAAAATCTATTCGTCATGTGACATGAAAACCTTATAATTTGAGCATTCAAAGTTTGACTACAAATATAATACAATTGGAAAAGATTTAACTAAAGGAAAATACAACTGACAATAATTCTTTAATTCAAAATAATTATTACCCTAATTCGAAAGCGAATGTTAGATAAAAGAATATCATAGTTAACAATATTAAAATATTATGATTAATGTAATTCTTTATTTGAATTCTTTTTTTTTTTTAAAGAAAAAAAAAGTATATACTTGAAAATTTTAATAATGGTCCAAGGTAAAGATATCGTTGAATCAATACAAGATGTTTTGAATAATTTCTGATATAATCCGTCTTGAAACATTAAAAAATTAGGATGATGGTTGTTGATTTAAATTAGATTTAAATTTATGATATTATTCAAATTATTCTTCGTCTACCTAAGAATGTCCGGTTAATGAAGAAATATTTTGTTTCTTACAATAATAATTCTTATGATTTACTTTATTGAAATACGACTCATATCGCGGAATTTATCCTCAAATGGAAGTGTTATATCTATATACTGTATGTAGTATCAAATTGATTTTTAGATGTGTTTTCAAATCCAAAATAAAATACTATTTATTAATTTGTAGTTTTTATGTTCAAATTAATAAAGCAGGTAAAAAATGAAGATACCTTAATAAAATAACAAGGTAATAATGAAAATATATTTAAGTGTGTATTTAATAGATTTTATTTTTTTTCCTTATGTTGCAATTTTTCCATACATCACCTTGAAAAATTAAATAATTTTATTTTGTTCTTTTAATATTATATCAAATGGAAGTTAATAACTTATAAGTGAATTGCATTTTTATAACGATAATTGATCGAGGCATAAAATCATTATTGTTAATGAATTTCGGTATCCAAAAGATTTAAACAAATTTAGAAACTTCTAGTTATAGAAAAGTCTAATCGCTTATCTATAATAAAAATATTCCATTAATACATTATCATTAGAAAAAATCTCTCTTGAACTTAGGACGGTTTAACATCCCTAATTTTAAGGAAGAAACATTTTGAATTTCAAAGGTTATCCATCCATACAAGACATTTTGAGACTTTGCAATATAAACAACCAAATTTACCAAATTTACATTTTTATGTTAGCATTATCATTTTTATTGTTTCTATTTTCCTTCTTTCTATTATATTATACGCGTAAATTACATTAGTTTCATTATGAAATCTCAGGTTTATTTGCGTTTGGTTCCACTTTATTTTTTCATTTTTCAGAAGAAATTTAGTATAGGTAACATCTTATCTTGAAGATAAGAAAACTAATCATGCTAAATACCTGATTTATTCAAAAATTTAGTTATTATTTCCAAGATTTTTGATCGTTGTCACAATATAATTTTCGATTGCATAACTTTTTTGTATATGGGAAGGTTTGCTAGGAAAATCATGCTCCGAGAATTAAAATTAAGACATTATTACATTTTAATCTAATAAATTAATCCTTTGGGTCATTTAGCTTTATAACTTTAAGGATGCAATTCAATCAATCACATTCTCGTATCAAATATTTATTTAAAAAAATTTAAATTCTTTATCTATCCCAACTTAAATATTCCACATTTTTTGGGCCAGAATTATGTTGAAGTTACAAACGTGACGTGCTGATCTGTGTATTTTTATTTTTAGAATTTTTAGCACGGAAATAAAAATAAATCTCTTAAAAATGAACCTTAAAATTATTATTATGCGCCCATTCTTAAATCTTACTAGTTTTAAAAAGAAATTAACGTTCTACATGTTCTACAAATTTAAGGAATTTTTTTTCCTAAATTTTTGACGGAAAAAAAAAAAAAAATTTTTTTTTTTTTTTCTTTTCAACAAAATATAATAAATTTCCCAGAGACATTCTCGCATGACTTTTTTTGCCGTGTAAACGTATCGGAATTTTCGTTTTCTTTCACAAGATCTTACATAACAATATCATAAAATTATCTTTTTGATGGCCTACGATAACAGCTAACAATGCAATGGGTAAACACTTCAAACGTGATTGTTACCGATTGTTATGATTGTTACGTTTTCTTTGTTTATTTATAAATTTTGACAGCCCGAGACCTTATACTGGAATGGTATGGAAAGTTACAACCTGTTTTGTGATTGTGTACCTATTTACACATTTTTTGTAAAAAAAGACGGAAAATTCGAAAAATCTAAATTTGGCGTTTTCATTCTGTTGAATCTCACTAGAACGGGACCTCATAAATAATACAAAATTAGGTATCCAAAACGTGGTAATTTTTTTTTTTTAAAAAAAAAAGGTCGCGTACAACATTGGACATATAAAGAGATGATGTGTCGAAAAAAAAAAAAAAAATTAAATGCGCACAAATCAAACCTAATAATAGTAAGGTTCTTTCGGATATGTCATCCACACGAATTTGAAATGCGACACCGCATGAATATTAGGAAACAAGTTGAGATAATCTATTTGGCATGAAACAAAGGAAAGCACAATCCATTGATTATGTATGATGTTTTTTCCAGGGGCCAAAACCGGCCCTTCAAATATGAACATTTTTAACCAACTGTAAGCAGTTAATTTACTCTTATAGGAAAGAAAAGTTAGGATCAGGCTATATTTATGCTGCATTATTTACATTTTTCTCCTGAAGTTTCACCATTAAAATAATCACAATATATTACAAGGGCCCTTCCTTTCTTAATTCTAAGCCTTCTCTTTCGTTGTATGACATGAGCGACACAACCATAATTTAAGCCTGTGCATTGGAAAAGAATCAAAGTGATACAAGGTCAATTTACAGATCAATGTTGTATAAAAGCCACGAATTTATCTGATATATTTCCGAGTCAAATAACGTCAAAAAAAGGCATTTTTTTATAATAATGAGCAGATTCGTTATAGACATAACGGTTTTTCTTTTTTTTTTTTTAAGGTTCCGCGTATGTTTATTATTTGTTTGTTGCAATTTATAGATAAAGTTCCTCTACGAACAATATAATCGGGTTAAATGAATTTGGCATTCTTTCAGGACGATTGCAAATATTTGCCTTCCTGTCAAAATATTTTCTTTTTTTTTTTTTATCACAAAAAAATCATTCATTATTAGTGTCAAAAAGGATTCTTTTACGAAATATTATTAGTTTGTTTGTAACTTTAATAATATCAACATGTAAATTCGCGTCAAAATAATATATATATGGATATATTGTTATACCAAAAAAAAAAAAAAATTTATGCAAGGGTTGCCAGTTATAATTATCTAAATCTTAATCTAATCAAATCTAATTAATTTCTAAAAAAAAAAACCTAAAATATATCGTGTTAAAAAAAAATCATTCGATACTAATTAAACTGCTCATGATGATAGATCTACATTTAACATTACCGCTCATCAGCTGTATCTCGTGATTCCATTAAAACAATCTTCGATTCCTTTCCACAAATTTATTTAAATTTAGTTAAAATCATTCCTTGTCAGCTTATCTAAGTATTAGGTAAAATTAGGTAATAAATAAATTTGTAAATATTTCTATTCTTGATTAAAAAAAAAACTGTTTGAAATCTCGGCAATTTCTTATGTATATATATATTTTGTAATAAAAAATTGCTTTTTTGTATTGTTTACACAGAACAAATCAAATTAATGATTTAACTTCATATAAAAAATTTATTAAGGGGATGACTTATTTCCTAAATTTATTAAGGTATTTCCAAAGATGGCAAAAATTAAAATGTTTGTTTATTAACGAATGTAAGCATGGGCCTCAAATAAACAATATTTAACCACATATTACTTAATAAAATGTCAAAATCTCGCGAGAATATAAATGCAGAAATAATTTCAACTTATTGATTTCCTGAGTAAAATTATAATAAAGCGATCTTTTAACCTGTACTCCAAATTAGGCCGAATCCAAGTAATTCCCATTGATGCATAAGTAGCGGTCCTTTACGTAATTCTTTGTTAAAGAGAGCAATTGTATTCCAAAATAGCGGATGCTACGTCGGGACTTCATGCACCAAGACCTTTTTCATTTTAAGCTTAAATTTTTCATCCTTTTTGATGGGAAAGGTTACATTTTGTTAAACAAATTCGTCCCTTCCCTTTAAACCGTAAATCGAAAACCGGAGATTAACTAGATTGTATAATTTCAATAATTAACCGTTTTGGTGAATTTTTAATTTATCACCTTACAAAACTCGTAATTTACAAAGAAAACCTTTTTTATAAAGCAGCATTGCATTGCATCCGCAAAATTTCAAATATCCTTTTTTTTTTTTTTTAATAAATGTTGTGATATTTTTTTGCATGCTGTGCTTATTAAAAAGGAAAAATTTAATCTTAATTAAACAACAGGCATTTATCAAATAGTTTAATTTAACTTTATTGTAATAAACCCGCTAAGGCAACTGATTTTTTTTCTTGTTGGCTAAATTTAGTCCGTGCATTATTATTATTATTTCAATTTTTTTAGTTAAATTATTGTTTGTGCGAGAATGAGAGATACCGAAATTCAAATGATATAACAAATTTTTTTTACAACGGCTGTTCAATTGTTTAAAAAAATGCGGGGGGTTTTTTTTATTTCCATATATAACAAAATTAGAGAACAAGGTAGCGCACGGATCAGATGATTGCACCAAAGAGTAAATTTCAAATATAATTTTTTACATCCACGTCTCACTTCATAAATTTCTTCTCTTGGTAAAACAAACATTCAAATGTTCATATGAAATGATCCCATACCGAATATAAAGAATAGTATAAATTTGTAAGTAAACATTGAAATTAAAAATTCATGAAAAAACGATCAAATAGGTTTAACCCATTAATTTAATTAATTAATTAATTGTTTACTTATTCTCATGTCACAAATCGTTACCATGTGAATAAATATTATTATTCCCTTTGATTATTGATCTCTTAGATACACGTGCTTTAAATTACAACCGCCCTGGTAAATTATGGCGCGTAAAACATCTCCAAAGCGCGTGAATACCAATATGAATTAACCAAGGATTTTCAAAACAATTATTTTCGTTTTTCGTTTTTTTTTTTTTTTTTCTTTTTTTGAATGTGGGGTAAAGAACCATTTCATATTTTTTTTTTTTTTATTTTTTTATTTTTCAAAGGAATTTTGATTTTTGGAATATTTCACATGTCAATATAATCTAAAGAGTTTGACCCTTCATATGAAATAATCCACATTTTCCCGTGCGCTGAAATAGGATTGACAACAAATATTATTGTCAATAAATGAGGATTGACATACAGATGTATATTTAGAAAGACATTCCTCTTTAGAAAGGACCAAAAAAAGATATCGATCAGCTTCCGTGCGCCACTCGGTTAATAAGCAGGTACCCCAGTTTTATGCTTACTCAATTGTTATGGATTCGAATTGTTTAATAAAAAAGAAAATAATTTTTTTTTTTTTTTACACAATCAAGAGATTTTTCTTTGTTAATTTTTGGACTAAAACTTTTTTTTAAACGCCCCTTTTCCTTTTTCAAAATACAATAATAAGTTACAAAGGTCAAAGCCCTATAAAAAAAAAAAAAAATGTGGTGGAGGTTCCCATTTTCTGTTACCCTGGTTAAAAAAAAAAAAATAGTTGATTTAAAATTTAAATTAATATTTTATCATATGCCGCTCGGGGTATCTTCATCATTGTTCGGGGACGTTCCTTTCCAAAATCAATCAAAGTTAAGGCAATAAAATAAGTTTGCATAAAATTATTAGAATATCAATCCTTACCACATGTTTGCGCATTAGAACAACAAAATTTTCTCTTAATCATTTTATATTAGTTTGAAATTCCTTTTGGATTACTTAAATTTCAATGTTTATTGTAAACCTGTTATTATTAATTTTGTTTAACCTAAAATAATGTCTTTCCTTTAAAAGATATCCGATCCATTATGATGCGCGCTTTCGTAATTCACGCTAAAGCATACATCCGACTCACTCACATATTGTATAAGAGATAAACTTCCATGTTGTGCCCGTAAAGACTGGATCATCTCAAAGTATAATTCCTACATGAGAAAATATTTTTCTAGTTATTTTTAGCTGATGCACATAAAATTTCTTTAAAAGTCAATTATGAGTTTCTTTAATCAAGATAGGGCCACATCGGATATCTGTAATAATCAGGAATATCCTATTGTATCCAAGAATAGATAAATGGAGATATATGCATGCTGTTGATGTAAATACTTAATATAACTGAAAAGGGATAAATGATAAAGTCGGTGGTGACAAAAGCTCTTATAAATCATGCCACTTTCATTATTTCATTATTTTCATTTGATCAACAAATTAATACTTGCATTAATGAATAAACAATAACTTGATTTATTTAAAATGCACTGATTAATTTCTTTACATACTGTACATCTATTAAAAAAACATCAAACGAAATGTTTTGAATTTATGACCAAGAATCTTAACTTGAAAACCAAATATTAATAAATCAAAATGTAGCAAAATTAAAAATCTGTAAAAGCTAAATCATCAAACGATTGCACAAGAACTTATTTGACATTGACCCGGAATTACAATCACGTCATTTAAAAATTAAATAATCCGGTGTTTACCGCTTTACTTAAGCGTAACAAAAAAACGTAAGATTAGATAGATAGATAAGAAAGATCTCTTTTTAAATCTTGTAATCTTGAACGCCCAAAATTCAACCTTAACTTTCATGTTTTTTTTTTACTAGTTTTGCATCCTGAATTTATTTGAAATAATTTTTATTACTTGGGAAAAGTAAAAAAAGGCTAGTCAATGGGTATTGTAACAAGTTCGTGTAGCCTTTTTAAGTCAAACAAATGGACGTTCCCATTAAACATCAACATATCGTGTCATTGACTAACGCTTTAAGGAAGGAGATTTCTGAAATCCTTTAGAAAATGATTAAAAAGAAACGAATGGGAAAAATTTTTTGGTGGTTCATCCATGACCTGGATGGTTTACCTTTTTTAATGTTGGGCTTTTCGCCAAATTAAAGATCTTTTTTTTTATCTAATTTCAATTAGATTAAGTAATGTTTATTATTTTTTTTTTTATCTTATCAAATGTACGTATATAAATAAATAATTCCTTTATCTTTTATCAATGCAATGTATTATTATTATTAATCAATCAATTCACGAAAAATAAAAATTAAAAAGTTCCCGAGTTTCTTTCCGAAGTACGACATTAATAGTGTTATGTACTCAATAGATAATGAATTGATTCTGAGAGCATGCTAGAGATAAAATTAAGATTCTGGAATAAACAATTATCGAATGTTATGTGTGTTTACGGTTGTACTTTGGTGTTTTCTTATCTCTCGGTAGTTACTAATTAGTGCTACTTCTATCTATTTTGATTATAACAAACAACTTGATAAGGTATTGCTTTCTTTAGGACAATTTTTTTTAATATACCCGATTCAGTTATTATAATTTAAATCTGAATGATCTGATTGGGATTTTAGAAAATGAACGCTCTGCTCTGCACGTTAACTTTGTACATTAGGGAACGTCAGATAAGTTATCTCTGTAATTGACATAATCGTTCACAATCGTAGAACTAAAAATAATAAAAAAAAAAAAAAAAAAATAATAATAATATGACAAAATTTTCCTATTCGAGATTTTTTTCAAAATCGATTTTTTATTTATTATACAATGAATGCAATTTTTTTTTGGTCCGTCACACAGTTCATCTGATAAATAGGTAAAAGAGTATGATAATAGTAAGTTTATTGTTTGTTTTTTTTTCATTCTCTTACAGTTAACAATTGAAGGATCTACGTGGATTGTGCTAAAATTGTATTGATTTTACACTTGAACCCTTAACTATTATTTCAAAAGATATCCGTATTAAAAAACGTGTAGGTATTGTATGTTTGAAATGAAAGAAAAAATTCGGAGGTTTTTTATTTACCGTTCGGCTGTGAAGAATAAACATTATTTAGAGTTAGTTCGAATGGGATAATTTTTTTTTTTTTGATATGGTATGTAAACAGAGAGAACATATATGCAAAGGATATCCTTTTTTTTTGACGTGCAAATCTTTTCTATAATTAGCGAGATATCGGATTTCGAAAAAAAGAAATCAATAAAAATGTATGTATGCCCCCTTCCTTTTTAAACGGAAAGAGAATTAAGATTTTTTTTTTTTTTTTTATTAAAAAAAAAGGGGATTCAAATTTACTTTTTGAAAGAAAAAACTAAGCATAAACGTAACATCGGGAAAAAAAAAAAAAAATGAAATGAAATTAAATTAAAGGTAATAAAATAATGCATTTCCATGAAAAGAAAAAAAATATCCTGTTTCAATCAATCGTGACAAAGATTAAGGAAAAAGGTTTTTCCTTCTCCAAACAAAGTTACAAAGATGTATTGATAATGTTCAAACGAGTAAAAGTATTGGCTTGTGTCATTTATTTACCGGACAACAACAGATTTTACACAGTTTTGTTTGTGAGAACATTGAAAACACTAAAAAGGAACAAAGAATCACTTGAATTATTTGTTTTGAAATTATGTTGTTTACAGTTTGAAATCTCTAGTTTGATTTGCCGAATAAATAATTATATTATCAATTGTTTCTTGGGCGTGAGTATCAAAATATTGGCGTGCAGAAATAAAAAATCCTGAAGCGAATCAGTTGAATTCTGTTACCAACCTCCGACATTAATGTATCCAAAAAAAAATCAACAGAAGATGTCACATTACTAAAGAAATTATTTTTTTACAATAACAATCATAATGATAATAATAGAATGTGGGCAATAATAGTAAAAGAATAAGAATAATAAACACATTCGTCATTTTGCCTCCGAAAACGATTTTGTTTACGTATTGGGCCACATATTATTTATCCTAATTGGTATTAAAAAAAAAAATCTCGGTACCGATTATTCAATTACAATCAAATCTTTGGATCCCCTACTTCTACAAAGTTATGTAACCAAAACCAACGAATGATGTAGTGATGCCGATCAAAAAATATTTGCTGCGTATTCACGAGAACACTTATTTCTTAAATGTTTTAGAATGAACAAAATAAAAAAGAAAAAAAACTTTTATAATAACGCCATGTAAAACAGGTTTTTTTTTTGTTATTATTTTCCCAGGCAACGAAAAAAGGAAGGAAGGTTCTGTATACATTTACATCGCTTCCCGCTCACGTAATAGTTATTTATAAGCACTTTTGCTTTTATTTTCTTTCGAGATATGTAAATCAGGACCCCCTATTTGGACATATTAGGACCTATACGCGAGTGACTCTTTATCGGACATAAATATATAACACGCACTTCCTGCAAGCCACTGTATGAGTGGTATTAGTCATTCAAACATGACCCGTATTAAGTGAAACGATAAATCAAGGCTTCAAAAAAAAAAAAAATTTAGTAAAGTTTTTAAGTTTTATTCAAGCATAAATTAAAGAAAGATAAGGGCAATGTCTAATAATATTGGGGGGGGGTTATTTTATGGACTCCAAATGTAATTAATTGATTGATGCATAAGTTTACATCTCCACTAATGCACCGTACATACAGTACAGTACAATCAAATGCAATGAAAAATCAGCTACCCGTTTTGCAACATTTTCGAAATGGGCCCTTGCCTGCGTTCTGACGATACAACATTTTTAAACAATTCGAACCCTTTCGAATGTCGAAACCTTTTTCGTTTCGCTTTTAAAATTTTAATTTAATTTATTTATTCAATTATTTTTTTTGATGGATTGGATCCTTTTGTATAACAAGAGATTATGAAATAAAATAAAATGACCTCTTGGTAATACAGTTAAAGGCTAATTTTGGAATCGACCGAGTGAGGGATAGCTTTCTTTATTACTTTAAGGTAGATGGATAGATTGATATCATATATACTCGGCAAAACTTGCCCGCGCGCATCACTCATGCTCGGGGTGAATTCTTTATAAGGTACTAAATCAATTGTTATAAATTAGATTTGATAATGAGAAACTGTCCGGTATCGCGCACTTTCCGATAACGAAATTTCGCAAGAACGGTTATTATCTAATATGGTAATATTGGTGGTAAGCCAGCGACTTAATCCATGGGACAGATAGATAGATACCCTACCAGTTACACATCCAATTCTCAGATTGAGTTTAAATTACCGGCAGATTAAACTTTGGGACGTATCTATTGCGCCAAGAACGAACGAAAGAAGCGATGCATTTTTAAAGATCATACGAAAAAGACGAAATAACATTGTCATTGCTGAAAATATTTTTAACTACCGCTAAACTTTTTCGTCTTTTTTTGTCCTTTGGCTGCGCACCAAATAATAATTTATCAAGTACATCAAAGATCCATGCATTTAATGAAAATCTTTGCCAAAATGATATAAAATTCGGGTAAAAATAAGCCATATTGGTATATCTTTCTTCGGATCGATGTCGTCAAATAAAATCATTTGATTTTTAAATCTTTAAAAAAAAATAAAATATATTATTATTATAAATAATAATAAATAAATAATTTAGGTCTAGTATTATAACCGAATTATATGTTATTTAATTGATCTTTTCTTTTTAAAGGAAATTAATTTTTTTTTTTTTTTTTTTGCGTTTTGCACTCAGGTTTTTTCCGATATCGTCAATCTAGTTTTTTTTTTTCGTTCAGAATTTGCCTGGGCGTTAGAGATTTACATGGCGCAGATTATCCGGATAAGGATATATGTAATTTATAGGTCAAGTTTCAATTTAGGCGTTTTATAATAAGTTTCGAGGTAATTTATGTTTAACAATGCCAAGATGTATAATCCCGTCTTGGGAAATATTCCTAGTTTTAGAATCTTCTTTATTTTTTGGGTAATTTTCGAATGTATGTGGATTTATTTCCTGAAACCGTAAAGATGATTTGGCCTGTGCGAAGAGGAAAAAAAAAAAGAAGCATATACATATATACAGTAGATGTTCTTTGTTATTCTTTGTTACCAATTTATTTGATCGTAAGTTGATATGGTAAACAATATCATTTATCTTCTTATTTTATTTTATTTGATGAATTTTTTTTTTTTTTTTGATGAAAATATAACGAAAATGGATATAGTGATAGATTAAACCGATTGACAGACAATAACAAACCTTCAAGAAAAAAAAATTTTTTTTCCTGATTCATTTTTTTTTTTTGCCTGTAAAAATTAACTAGTGATAATCATAAATCTTTCCTAGAAAAGAAAAAAAAAATTAAATTTATGGTGATATATCCAAGTTTAGCTTACGTTTCTTGATTTCAGATAAAATAAAAAAATACATTGTGATTGGCAAGGATTACGAATTCATTTTTTCGGGGTTTCATATTTCACATGAGACATGTATAACGAGCATTCCGCTAAATAAACATCCTATTTCAAATCATAAAACTTTTTAGAATTTTCAATGGACACCAGTCTCGTGTAATGAGAAAGGTTTTCAATCCGGTATCATTATCGTGTAACTGTAACCCAAGCAGGCAATATTTGAAATAATGGTTGTTTGTGTTATATTCATATTGAAATTTCGATATATTTTTACCGAGTTTTTAATTTTTTTTAGTATCCCTTATTTAGATATATTAATATAAGATATCGTATCGTTTTTAGTAATTATGAATTAAAAACTAAAAGAGATTGAGTATAATAAGTTAAAAAAGATTATCCTATAGGTTTAGGTAAATTATTCTCTCTTGAAGAGAAAAATAAAGAATCAATCAAACTTAGTTTTTTTTTTTAGGTGAGTTTTTTATGTAAGGGTTAGGCCTCTATAAATAATTTCTAAAAATAAGTTTTTCTTTTTTTTTTTTTTTTTTTTATGATATAAAATTTTTTTAAAGTCAGTATAAAATGTATAAAATAAATTTTTTTTTTTTATTTATTAATATTCGGCGATCCATTGGAAAATTTAAATTTATACTGAATAATATAAATTAAAAAATTTTATTTTTTTTTTTAATTTAAATTTTGATTTTATTTATATATAGGCTTAAATATAAAAGGGCTCAAATAATTTTTTCTTCTTCTCATATCCTGACAACAACAAAAAAATAAATTACAAACATTTTAGTTTTGAATAAAAAACTTGCGGATAATATTTTATTATCTGTGGTCCTTTTCCTGCTAGTCGTTCAAAACCTGCAAGCAAGGAATTAATAACGAACGTTTGTTTCTTCCCCCTTTCGAGATAGATTGTTAATATTTCTTTTCTCAAACCTATTTTCTACCGAATTACATTCTTAACACCCTTTTCCAACCTTCCGTAGTATCTATACTTTTTTTTTTTTTTTTGAAAGTTACTCAAAAAAAAAGAAAAAAATTAAGCACATTCTCATTTTTACATAATACAAATCCTGTGTTAATTAATCTTTGTCCCCTATGCTCCTTAATTAGCTTATTGCAACACAGAGTTCAACAAAATTTTCAAACATTTAGTAAAATTTTCTACTTTTGAATAATTATTTTTTTTTTTCTTAAAGAAAAAAAAAAAAGAAGGAAAAGTTAGAAAAACACAATATATTTCAAATTACCTCATTATCCCTCAAACAAATGGAGATTGATTGGTGTGTCTGTGGTAAAAGAGTCTCTGATTCCAATGAATTTTATTGCTCGAATGAATGTGCAATCGCCGAGAATCCTTCAAGCACAATCAAATCGCAGTCAATTAATCCAAATTTAACCTCGCCACAAGCCCCCCCGATGAATCTGCACTTTTCTATCACGATCACTTCTAATGTTTATAAGGCTTCGGATTTTAATTCCAAGGTGTTGTCTCCTCCCCAGTCGGTATCTTCCTCTTACACCGACTCAAATGTGTCATCATCATTTACAAGCATCAGCACGTTCGATCAAGAATTCGACGATTACGTTTACACTTATCGAAACCACGGATGTGCGTGCAAGGAAGATATGATCGATGACGAGTATTACACTTCGTATTACTCCACCAGTAATCCGATCGATATCCCAAGCCCAAGGACTCAAGCTGCGAATGATCACGCATTGGAACCCATCAACAAAGGAACCTTTGGCGAGAAGAAAAGCTTTTTCTAATTCTTTTGTTTACACTCTATATATTTGAAGGAAAAAAAAAAAGTTTCGGTAATGAGAAAAAAGTATACGAAACTTACCCCTTTATAAAAATTCCATTTCCCACTATGAGATTAAAAATCTTCTTTTTCGCACGTTTTTATGTATATTATGTATTATATGGATCGAACATGTTTTATTAAATTAATCACACAAATAATTACCATATCACATTATGATCAGATATATGAATTCCTTACTTTTTTTATATTTTTTCCTCGTTTTCGAATTACAATCGGGTGGAAACGAATAGCGTAACGAAAACGACACGGAAACCGAAACTAAATTCTAACATTAAGCAAAAGAGAATTAAGCAACTAAGCAATTTTTTAAGATATCTTACCACCACTATGTTGTACCTTCTCGTTTTTTTATGAATTTATTTTTTTTAAAATTTTCATTTTATTTTATTTTTTATTTTTTTTATTTTATCGTGAACGTGCGAAAATTTAAGACATTTTTTAGACATTTTGTAATTTACAACCCCTTTTATTTAAACTCCATCAATTCCGATTATATCTCACCCTCTCATGAATTCCGTTTATATATATGTTATATACTTTTTCTCTGTTCATTTATTTACATTCACATTCTTTCTTTGTACCTATCTTTTTTTTATTTTTTGTATAACCCACTGTAATATATATTTTTTTTTCCTTCAATTGCTTTTTACTTTCATTTCCGCGCACGGAAAATAAACCACATTCCTTTCTTGTATTATATTTTCTCTTTTTTTTTTTTTATAGTAGTTCCAAACAATGAAATTTTCATCTCGTATTTAAATTATATAATTATATAAATAATCTTTATATACTTCTTTTTATTTTTAATGTATAAAAAAACCAAATTCAATGTTTTGACAAAGTATCGTTTCAACTTTATAAATTTTTTTTATTAATACAATAAAATTGAAGTGCGATTTAAAAAAAAAAAAAAACTATCGAATTCTCTCGTGTGCAACCAACGTTCATAAAAGTGGTTTGTGATTTTGATAAAATGAAAATATTCCTTTTATGGACATCTACTTATCCTGAAACACGGAGACTATTTTCCTCGCACTGTCAAAGGTTTATACGATTTCTTTCCCGTAAATACGTCAACGTAATCCCTCTCGTTCTTTCTTCCCTCATCATCGATAACGTCGGTTGTAACGGCTTGTACTTTTTTTTTTCTCTTGATTTTGGTAACCTTTGTGGTTGCCGATGGTTTTGCGCTGTTTAATGGATCTTGTGATGCCGATTTTGATGTCACGATATTATTAGAAATCTCTGCTTGAACTTTTCTCTCTTTTCTCGTCTATTTGATTCATGAAATGCGTATTAATATTAACATGTGGTTTTGATTGAAAGATAACTTCTTCAAGATTTAGCTTGTTTGACTCACCAAACGTTTATGAGATTTAGCTGATTTTCCCATCTTGAATATAAGGATCAAAGGATAAACGTTAGAATGTTAGAAGAAGCATTAACGGAAAAAAAATGAGCATCAGAAAAAAAAAAAAAAAAACCCTCCCCCATCAATTGTTGAATCCATGTGATTTGCGCAATGTCGGACAATGGACATTCGATTTCAAACACAGAAAAAAAAAAAAATAAAATAAAATTCCCGCCTAAAAGGTACAAGTCGTAATCCGTCGAGATGAAAGTAAAAGTTCTCACACAGATAAACGATAAATTTTTCTCGGTTTTCGATTGATTAATCACGAGGAAAATCCGATTATATTCATTTATCATGTGAATTTTATTTCAAAAACCCTTAAATTTTTTTTTTATTATTTTTAAATAAGATTCGAACGATATACATTTTGGATTTGCTTTAATATAATTTAAAAATATTATTTATACAATAAATATTTTTAAGGACCTAAATATCATTGAAAGATATATAAATTAGGAAAATATAAAAATCTGGGGAAATGCTGGTATATTCCCGTGAATTCAAGTCACGTGTAAATGCAAAAGAGTAAAATCAAGGGGTTTTATTGATTTTTAAACAAAGAAATGGTTTATTCGTAGAGAATAAGCCTCAAGACGATGAAAGGAAAACCCGTTACCTTTCCGCCATGAACAATCACCAAAGGATAACGTCAAAAACTTGAAAGAAAGAAAGCGGCGTCAATCACGTAAAATTCAATAATCTCCTAAAATGGATTGATCAAGACTCGAGACAGGATAAAGTTGCGTTTTCGGTCCAAAATGATCGCACAATAGTATGATTGTTGTAAAACTTTCATGAGGTTGAAGGGGTTGTTTACTGGCGCCGAATGTCTTTTTTTGCAAGTCGAATTTACCTACAAACCTGTTAATCGTGATATGATTGAACCCTTTCATCATATTTTTTCCCATACAACTGTCAACTCCGAGAAATCTTTATTTCGCACATACATGTTTGCATACATACGTACATGTATACGATTTGAACGCGCGTTAGCTCCATCTATCGATCTCTCGATCCCGATTCTCGATCTACTTTTGACAGATTTTCAGATATAATCTATATAAGCAAATTTAAATGCTGGGGTGGTGAGAATTTAGAAATCAGGTAACATATATGTCTTTTTTATTATGATGGAATTGAATATGAAACGTTAAATAAAGCCTTATAAAGATAAATTGTTGGAAAAGAATTGATTCAAACTTAGCAAATGATTATTCACCTAGGGAGGTATTCGCCGATCAATCCGTGTAACAAGTTTTTATTTATATGCTACGCCCACTCAACAATATATGTTAATTCTTTTTTTTTGTAACAATAGATGATAAACAAACGGATCAATTTAAATAAAACCTTTTCGATCTTTAAGAATTCGTTTTTTTCGAATTATACTCCTTAAATAGGATCATTCTCAAACAAAGAAATGCATTTCATACAGTTGTCAAAAGCACGTTAATAATGAAAATGTTGAACAGTTATTGTTTATTTATTTATTTGTTGGGGGGGGGGTGAACAAAAAAAAAAAAAACAATATACTTTAAGTTTACAAATATATACACGTAACTTTTACCAGTATTATTTAGAAACCCCGAATATAAATTCTCTGAGTTATGCGTCATCACGTTACGGGTTTAGTCCCTTATTTAATTTTTCATTTACTGGTAAAATTTAAGTCAAGCTTAGCCACGAAAACTAGTTATCGGGTTCACATTATATTTGAAGTAACGTTTCTTATATATTTTATAAAACGTTACAAGTCACAAAAAGCATCTCGTGTCGTCTCAGGTCTCAGGTCATTAAAAAGTTCGTAATCTCACCAAAAATTTTCTCCGAGTCAGGAATTCGATTTATCAAGTGATTCATTTGTTTACCGTACCTCATTTTAATCTTTTTAATTTATTGTTTATCTTCGTTTAGGTTATTTGGTGGTTCATACGTGCTCACCAATAGAAGGTAACGATCAATGTTTAATTTTTGGTTTGATTTTTCCTGTGAAGGGGTTCTTTCACTGCCCAAATTTTTCAGGTAAATAAGATAAAACAATGAACCAAAGTGGATGGTGTGACGTGTACAATGTATAAAGAAAACGGTTTTCTTCATGTTTTAAGATAGATTATCAAGTGATACGAGGAAAAAGAAATATTTAAGTGATCAGAAATGATAAGAATGTTTATAATCTTTAAGGATTGATGATTCCTTTCTTGTAGTCTGTTTTCTCGTAATTTTGTTTCCAATTTCAATCCTCAATTGACATTTTAGGTATCGATTTTCGTGTCATTGCGTTTTGGGGATCCAAACATCAACGAATTTGGAATACGGCTCCCTGAAAATTCCCATTTGATAATGATTTTTTTATTTTGTTTTTTTGAATTTTTGTTAATTGTAGGGGAATAATAATAAAAAAATAAAAGAGACGGATACGAAACTTCCCTTGATAAGGTTATATGCCGTCTTTAAAATTTGTCGTACGCGAGGAATTTTTAATGCGTGTCGAAAAAATTTTTAAGGAAAAAGAAGAAAAGAATTTCCAGTTTTTACCCGGGATTGACCAAAAAAGATTTGCTCGGTGCACAAAATGTGGGTCATTGTCTTGATTTTGTAACTTTCTCCGAGTCAGCCTTTCTTCGCCTAGAGTTGGTGACCTTACTTAAAGAAAAAAAGGTCAACCGTTAACGGGTAATGATTTTAAGATTTTTAGAATTCGGAAGGAACCAGGTTCCGAATACGCAAGGTGAAATTACTGTTTACAAACGGTTTGAAATGTCATACATTATAATGTCCAAATATGACTGAACATTTGTCACATTCGAAATTTCGTAAATTCTTTAAAAAACATTAAGATGCCTTCTGTTAAATTTTTAAGCAAGGGCATGCGGTTCGATAACCAATGAATCGATCTCAAAGGTGATGATTATGCATCCAAGTCTAACCTCAAAAGAGTAAATCCTAACCATATTAATCAAAAAACGAATTTTTCTATTAAAATTTCATTACAATAAACAAATAATCCCCCAAGAAATGTGGCATTCAAAAAATTGGTTGAACTCGGGTCCTCTATCAGGATTTATCAGGTTTTTCATGTACAAACAAAAAATTATTTAATTTTTTTTTTCATTCAAAGACAATATTAACCTTTTGTGATTACCGAATATTCGTTTGACAAGTTAACAAGTTTAGGAAAATTTTTTTTTTTTTTTTTTTTTTTTTTTGTGCTATTGCATTAATGAAATTGCTGATTTATTTGTTCTACAAAATTCATTTTGAGAGACCTTTAACAAAGGGAACTAATTCACATCAAATGAGAAGAGGACGGTGAAAAAAAAAAATTTTTCCATTTTCATCCATTTCTTTGAGGTTGTGGTTTTAACCGATGCTTAACCCGTAACGCATAGGTTTAGGTGAAAGAAACTCACGGAAGATTCCTTGGCAAAAGTTCCAAGAGACAACATTGCTGTCGACCAACAAATACGGTAATCTTTCAAGCATTCCCTTAAATTATTTTTGAAGTAATTATTTTTTTTTCTTTTTTCAAATGAAACGTTTTTGCCCGAATTTCCAATATGCAATCAACCTTTTTCTATCAAGATTGGCAGATATAATAAATTGGATGCATCGGATCGATTTATACAAAGTAAATAAATATTTTGATGATGCCATTACCCTGCATATTCCAAGTTTGTGAATGAAAACTTTTGAACTTTTTTTTTTTTTTTTTTTTTTTTTTTTTTTTTTTTTTTTTTTTATTATTTTTTAAAAATAAAATAAAAAAATATATTTTATAATTATTTAATAAAAAAAAAAAAAAAAAAAATTTTTTATTGTTCTTTTAGCTTTAATTTTCCAATTTTTTTAAAAAAAATTTTTTAATTTTTTTTTTTTTTTTTTTTTTTTTTTTTTTTTCGAATGTTTTCTAATGAATTCGAAAAAAAAAAAAAAAAAAAAATTATTAAATAGTTGTAAGGTACAAGAAATCTTTAAGGAAATTACATAACGATAACAACGCCTCAAATAAACTTTTAAAAAAAAACCCGAATTTTTTTTTTTTTTTTTTTCAAGTTGGAGAATTGTGTAAAAACTTTATCTTGATAAAAAAATTTTTTTTTTCTCTCGAGCGAAGAGCGAAAAAAAAATAAAAATTAAAGAGTAGATTTTAGATATAATCGGTGTAAACATCATCAATCATCATCTTGAATGTTCCAAACATACCGTCGATTATTTACGTTTTCGTCACATTGAGATACCTTTTGACAGTACACGAGAATAACAATAGAGCACGCCATATAACTAAATTTATACAAATCTCGGAAACCTTCAAAGAAAAAAAAAAAATAAACAGCTAATTAGAATGTCAGGAATAAGGTTTAATATATCGAAGAAAAAGAATTAAGGTTCTAGCATTTAGAAAAAAAAAACAATTTTTAAACTGTGTTTATTAAGGAATAAACAAACAATTTGGAACCACTCTCGGTACATTTCAAAAAAAAAAATAATTTTATCCTTTTGATGTCTAGTACAAAAAAAAATTGCCGTCTAGTCAAAAAAAAAACACCTTTGCCAATTTTTTTTTCAGAAATTAAGCCAAAATCCCCGAAAAGACCAAAGTCGAATTTCCCGCTTATCATTTTTTTTTTCTCAAAAAAAAAAAACAAAAATAAAAAACAACAACCACTGCATAACAACAACAACAAAAAAATAACAAAGAAACGCCAGAGACATTTTTGCCTGCGAGAAGGCTGTATTGTTTGTGTTTACATGCCACCTAGACATTCGGCATTTTATTGTGACATCCAATGTATTACACGTTTAGATTCGTTAAAGAAAGTCGATTGCGTCACGTTCCTATTTCTAAGAGGCGTTCTTGTTAAAGGTGTTAAAGGAAGCTTTTGTGGTTAAAGGATGAAGCGATTAAAGAGCGAACTAATAAATAGAATTGTTGCGAATAATTTAAATAATTCCACCCCAAAAATAGCTTTCTGGATTAGTAATCACGTGAACAAACAACAACTTAAATCATCAATGATCGGCACGTGCCGAAAACCTAGAAATTTGAATCGTTATATATAATAGGTCTAGCGCAAATTAACAAATTTAACCTAAAACATGGAACCTTATTCCCTCCGAGTGTATTAGGTTTATTCGTTTCACGACTTCAACACAAAGAAAATTTCACAAGAGATATCCCAATAAGGGTAATCAATTTGAGATTAAGTTTACCGTACCGGGTAAATGAAATAAGAATAAACGGATTTAATTATAACCAAAGGATCGAAATTTTCTCTCCGTCAGAATTACGCCAGATTATAGATTGAACCCTTTTTCGCTCTGTCAACCATGCACAAGTTCCTTATCTTTGCCTAAAACTGGTTTATCCCTCAAAGCACACAAACGTACAAAAAACAAAGTTAATAACGTAAGCATCATCATTGAGATAATTACCGCTAATTATAATTAGTAAAGTTTGATATCGATGACAAACAAACATGCCCAATCTTGTATCAACTTTAATCTTTTGGTCTGCGCGTTAAAAGATAAATGAGTCACGATCCCAATTATTTTTAATCTCCAATCACCAAAATCTAAAATCTAATGATAAAAGAGTGAACAAAGGACGAGGAGAAAAAAGGTCTGACGTACGGATTGTCGTGTTTATTCGTTTATTTCTTAAATCATCCAAATCTCATTAGGTTTAATTTCGTTTGTAATATTTATTCAGAATGAAGAAGATGAGATCGATCAGATTCGATTCTCATCATCTTGTCTCTTTTTAATGAGCACATTTGTTTTTATTTGTTTGGAGCACACAGTATGTCATATCCACTAAAAAGGTGTCTGAGCCACCCATCCAGGATCACCTTACCGTGTCAAAGTGGTAAATAATGATGCGACCCTGAAACATATTTCAAGTGATTCTTCTGAATATAGAAGAAATGCCTTGTTTTCAAGGGACATGCGTGTAACTAAGTTTTTCCGAGATCTTCACATTCTATGCTTATTTTATGTAATTAGCCTAACCTTTGAAGTTCATTAGATTCATTTTTATAAGATTTTTAAACCTTATAAAACTTTTTGTTTGGGTTACAAACAAACAAACAAGAAAGAACGGTATTGTTTGTGAAAAAAAAAATGATTGTTTTAGTTCACCCGAAACTTTATTGTTCGTTCCTCATGTTTTTATTTTCATCCGTTTCCTTCGAGAACAGTCACAAAAAAAGGTACATCATTACCGGAACTATATATAACTCGTTTTTCGATAAAAAAAAAAATAAAGTCTTGACATATTATTACCATGTTTTTGTTTAGTTGCTTTTTCGTTATGGATTCACGAGAATAAATCATGCTCATCTCCTATTTAAAGAAAACTGAAGCGATACATGTGTTTCGGTCTTTTTTGAGGGGCGTCTAATGCCTGGAATAAATTTCCTAAACACACGTTTGTGACAACTGGGAAACGACAAAAACATTTTCGATCAATGTTTCATGATGCACATCTTTTCTTATTTTAGTGATCACGGTATAACGCCAATTTGAATTTTTTAAAAAAAAAAAAAAGGTCGTTGAAAACATGTTGAATTTATTTGACGGAAACGTGCATTCACGACATGACCTTCAAAAGAGGCTTTTATCATGATACACTTTTTCAAAGAATCATGATAATACGGAAGGTGATTGTTGTTCTAATAGAATCTCGCCTTTAAATCGTTTATCGTATTGAAATTTTTAATACATGGATGGTTTACCTTTAGACATTTGCGTACCATACACCTGTCAATCAACCCTAAGAAAACCATGTGTAAAAGTTGGGATTTTGAAGAATAAAAGAGAAAAATGGTGCTTTGGAAATTCCCGCGTGAAATTACTGCATATCTCCTGATTTCATCGGCAAATACAATAACGTTACACGATCACATGATTATGATTTGACAAAAAACATTTGAACCAAAAGGGTGTTGATGGCTCGTGCTTAATTACTATGTTGCTCAGGTAATTTCTTCGCAATAACGTTAACCATTATTACATATATACGGTACTATGGTTGACGATTATCGGTTAAAACCGAATCATTATTTCAATCCTTTTCATGATTTATTTTGTAAAATTGAAAAATAAACGAAACGTGCAGAATAAGGTTGCTGTTAGGGAACACTTGTACCCCAGCGCAAGTGACCCTCGATATCGAAAAGGATACTCTAGATTGAGGCCAAGTGGCAGTGCTTTGACCCTTATCCGGGTCATCAATCATTAACCCTTTTACGCTTTGCAGCTTTAAAAAAATAGTTTATTCACATCCGAGAACAATAAATTCGGACCGAGTTTGCTACAATATTCGGGATGATTGCTTTCATCCTAATTAAACCGAATATGAATTCCACTTTTGTGATATCCTTGGGTCATTCGATCTAAACCAAGTAAGCGTTCAATATAAGAGATCTCATGTGAAGAACTGCATCGCGTAATTTGCCTGTGAGACCATGCGTTTCAGTTTCAATGCAATTGTATCTCTTTGGTTCCCGAGTTGACTTGACACAAGAAATCTTGTTACATAACTTTTTTGTCACCATTTTGGAACTCGCGCAAGATTTTGAACTAGAAAACGTGGCTCTGAATCTCATTAAATTCACATGCAAGAGAAATAGAACAATTGATGGCGTGCTAATTCGTTTCACCTTTTTTGTGAAAATCTCTCAATTATGTTTACGAATGGAAGCTTGAAATAAAAAGGAATTTGTGATGTCTAATCACTTTATTTTTAGGAATATGGTCTGTGCGTTAGTTAAAATTCTCATCAATTCAATTTGCGCGACGAAAATGGATCTACGTTTACTGCGGTTCAAAAATGAAAAACCCATCATCCCGAAAAAGCATGCATGCATGCTTTTTTGTTTGTCGAAAAAAATTTTTTTCGTTTTAAAAAAAAAAAGTTTCTGGAATTAATAATACAACCACTAAAAGATGAATGTCTTTATTTTTTTCCTTTTTCTTTTTTTTTTATTTTTAAATTTTTAATTTTTTTTTTTATTTTAGAGATTTTTCAGACGATCAATTTTCAAATTGCTCTTGACTAAAAAAAAAAGTGTCGCACCTAATCATCAAGTAGTAAAATTAAAACAACGGAAATACACAAAGATGTTATCTTTTCTTTTTTTGCGATTCTTTGTTAAAAAAAAAAAAAAAAAAATTCCACATTCTTCTTGGTATCAAATGATTTTTCCAGAGTCAAGGAAGCACAATTTTATTTAGAATGGATTTACAATAAGGATAAATCTGTTACAATCATGTGCGATTTTATTTTTTGTGGAAAAAAAAAAAAATTTATAATGCTTTGTAAGATTACTCGCTTCCGATAGGGCATAAAAGATTTGATTATGACATTTAAAAAAGTTTGATTTATTGATTTCTCGTAATTTGATGATGCATTTCGATACTAACCAGAATTTCAGATCCGAAATGCGAGGGCCGATCAACATCCTTTTAGGTTAATTTCCTTTGGGGTTGAAATAATTTTTGCCGTGAAACACACCTCATAAAGAAACCAATATTTAATTTATCAATCGATAAAAAAATTTTCCGAAACACAACACACACCACATACATATGCTTTGAATTGTTCTACTTCATGCGAGCCGTCAACTATGGAAAAATATCTTTTTTATTATCGAAAAAAAGGAATTTCATATGAAAAACATTTAACAAAAATGTATGATCTTGAAGCAAATTTTACAGATTGCTTGGGTGTAAAAAGAGGATTGGCGCACTTTTTCATTGGTTATTCAGTCAATTCGGGCGAAACTTAAAAATCAAATTTAATTTTTTACATAATCTCTCCAATCTTGGGGATTATAATCAGATCAATTCTTTTTTTCTATATGCATGATAATTTTGGAACGACATTTCGCATATTTTTTTTTTTTTTTTTTTTTTTTTTTTTCACACATCTCAACATAAGTAAAAGAAAAGAATTGGGTATTGAATTTTTTTTTTTTTTGAAAAAAAAATAACCTTAAATCCTTTTATTACAGTTTCTCTTTTCAAACATTTAAAACCGAAACTTTAATTTGATGGACAAGACCGTGTAACTTTTACTGAACTGATTTATGAGGTTTCGAATTTTTTCACTTACCCAGATCTGGACAATCTATCAATGAACATCTTTGCTCTTTTCGGAAACTTATGTTGATGCTTTGGGTATACTTACGCCCAAATATATTACATGGGTCTCTTTTTTATATCTCGTGATTTACCCCGACAAAAGTAAAATTCGTCAGTCACAATTCACATAACCACCAAATCTCAGTCACCTGAAATATTGTGACGCACCATATCACCAACAAATTTCATCCTGCGTCACACCCTCCGCGCTTTCTATTTTCATAAGTATTCTGAGAACTTGGAATTTTTTCGGGGTGCGTAATCATATTTTACACCTTTATTTGTCACATGGTTGATTTCTTAATGCCGTAATGCCAGCCAAACGTCACGTGGAGTGGAAAATTTGTTGGTAATACTAGGGTAAATTAATTAATTCGTGTTCCTAAAAGTTTATATTATTGAAATATCATATATTAGATTAAATATTATCTATAAAGTCTAAAAAAAAAAAATACTGTAAAAAAAGTTTGAACTTTGAAAAGTTTTTTTGTTTTCAATCATACTTAAAATAAAGGATTTGCTTGTAATTTTTTACTATTTGATTTATTTTTTTTATTTTTTTTATTATATACATCTTAATATTGTAATTAATGTATAAATATTATTATATAGATGGACTCTCAAGAGAAAAATAACAGTATTGATAATGACAAATTGTAAATATATTCTAAATATCATAAAACTTTACCTATCAAACTTTATTTCATAATAAGACTAATAAGCAATTTTGTACTTGATTCACTATCATACAAAACAATTAAAAAAATCAAAATGCCTGCAAAAAAGTAATTCTGATGATACTGAACCTGTAAATTTCTTGACTTTTATTTAGAATAGTTAAATGGATTTGCTAAAATTAAAAAAAAAATATGAATAATTTCAATTAAACATAACTTATATTATAAATGCTTTCTTATTTGATAAATCATCAAAAGAAATTGCTAATTAAATTATAAAGAAAGTTTCTGATATAAATAGATATTCTTGAAAGTAAATAATTTATTTTAAATTTGTATTACTTATTATAAGTAAAGATGATATATTATTTAGAGAATAATTTAATTGCAATAGGATGTTTAAAATTACTATTAATATAATAAAAAACATCTTTTAAATTTATATAATTCATGAATGTTTTATTCTTCTTCTTCAAATCATTTTATATCAGATTATATTAAAAATTTTATTAAAGAAAATATTAATCTTTTACCTTATGAAATCTATATTAAATATGTTTTTAATGAAATAGATTTGTTAATAAATAAAAAATAAATAATATTTTTAATAGTCAAAATTTATAGTTAATTATTTTAATTATCTGAATTTATTTTATTAAAATATAGCTTAAAAAATATAATTATGCAATAATATTTTACTCAGAATCTCTAGTATAAACTATTAACTTTATAACAGGTTTAGATAAGATAATTAAAAAAAAATAAAATTTATTTATATGAATATAAAATTAATACTATTTGTAAGTATTAAATCTTTTCTTTTTTTATGTAAAAATTGTAAAATTTTACTAATTTTTTATTTTTTATTTATTTAGATAATACAAATGATTTGAAATTTAAACTTTATGATCTTCATTTAGAAGTAAATAATATTAAATTTCTATTAGCTTATCTGTTTTTAAAAATAATTTAATAAAAATAGATTTTATAGTATAGTTTTTAATAGAAATCTGATTTTATAAGTATATAAAACAAAGTATTTTAATAGATAAGACTTTGTGTAAATTTTTATAATACAACATACATAGCTAAGTATAAAAATTCAATTATACTAATAATATATGTAATATACTATTAAAATAAAATTAAAAGATTCTAAAAAAAGCTTAATAAATCATATATAATTCTTTTGTTATATATAAGGTTGCTTGTTTAAACTTATTTTAAATTTAACAAAATGTTTAAACTATAGTTTCACTAATTTTTTACTAAGGTTTTAATATAGTTTTACATTTTTATAAGCTTTAATATAATTTTACCTTTTTCAGAATTTCATAGATTTTTAATAAGGTTTTAATATAATTTTGTTAAATTTTATTTTTTTTCTATTTAGACAACTTGCAAAACCTCTAAGTTTTATCTAGCAATTTAGTTACATATAATAATTTTCTTTTATTAAAACAACATTTGTACTAATAATAGAAATAAGAATAGTAAAGATTTATCTAAAAAATTACGTAAAAAGATATAGAAAATTATAGATCACATTTGCATAAATATCTATTAATTCTAAATTTAAATGAAGAGTATTTAATAAATGTTTAAATATAAAAATAAGCTGTAATAAAAATCTACAAATTTTGTAATAGTACTTATTAATATACTTCTAAATATATCTTTAAAAAAATAGTATAATAATAGTTATTAGAAATTATGAGCATAACTAGCTCATAAAAATATTTTAATTATATTTATTGAGAAGTATTAAAATTTGATTTTTATATAAATTTTTTCATTCTTGACTTAATCTTATTACTTATATTATTTTATTAAAACTAATATTATTTTAAAGTGAAAATTTCAGAAAATACTAAATGGGTAAGAGAATCCAAATTGAAAAAACTGTTTAAAATCAAATAGAAATATCTGAGTAAACATGATATAAATTTGAATAATACTTATTCAACTAAATATTCAAAATTGAATTTGTGGCTATTCATATTTTTTAACAAATCAGTTTATAATTTGTAAATATTAATTCTTTAACTAAATTATAATTATCTTTTATATTAAAATATATACATAAAATACTTAATTTTATTATAAAAACTATAACAATTTCTGAAACTAAAAATACAGATTTAACTAAAATTTAAAAAAATCATATTATTATTTATGACTGATTTTATTAATGTAATAGAAAAGACTTTAAGATTTTAAAGAAATATAAAAAAATTAAAAATTCTTAATAAGTTGAACAAAATTTTTTGTTAATTAAAAATATAGTTCAGAAAATTAAAATATATTAGTATCAATGTACTATATCATTAATATATAAAAATTATTTTAATATATAAAGATATTTAAATTAAAAGTAAATAATTTATTCAATAATTTTATTTTTTATTTGTAAAATTTACATTATACTTTTAGAAAATGTGAAAATTTTATATCATATGAGTTTTTCTATTTGTCATGCTACATGTATAATAAAATTAGTAAATAAAAAATAAAATAAAAAAATAAAATAAAATAATAAAAAAAAAATTTATTTATTTATATTTATTGATTTAAATAAAAAATTTCACTTCAGACTTAAATAATTTTTATTTTCTAGTTTAATTTATAATATATACTTATTAAATTTATAATATTATTAAAAGAGTATTTGGTTTTCTAGAAAATATTAAAAATTATTATTTTAAAGTATTTGTTATAATGCTAATTTTAATTGTAATGAATAATTTTTATAAATTTAAAAAAAAATGTTGATAATAACAGAAAGACTTTTAAGGTGATAGAAATTCTGTAATTAAAAAATATGATATAGTAACATATAGAAATAAATAAAAATATGTTAAATAATATAATAAAAATCAAGATTTTGAGAAAGTTGTATAAAATTAAATAAGTTTTTATTTTTAATATAGACCTAATGTAGAATTAATATTAAATATATTTTTATATAAAAATTTTAGTATAATATATAAATCATTAAAATTTTAGATATTTAAAATTTCATAAGTATTTAATTGATTAATTATTTATCTAATCTAATTTTTTGTGTAAAATTAATGAAGCTAATGCATTGTAGCATATTGTATAATTGTGATTTTTTAATAATTATATTAGAAAAGTTCTATTCTAAAATAGTTAAGTTAAGATTATAAGATACAAATTATACAAGATAAGTGAACATTTATGGAAATAATGAAGTAAATTTTTCTACAATATTTATAATTATAAAGTATGAAAGAAATTGTCTATATCTATGCAATTACTTTGATCTCAAACAAGTGTAAGAATACTTGATATTATAAAATTAATTTATTCTTTATGTTTTTTAAACTGCAATTTCAAAGTATATTTATCATAATTTTTATTTACATATTGAATTATATTGAATTATGATTAGAATAATAATTATGCATTTATACATTTTTTTTTTTTTTTTTTTTTTTTTTTTTTAAAAAAACGATGTAGCACTGCCAATAATTTTATTAAATTTATATATAAAGAAATACAAAGTAAATCGAAAATAAATCTATGCTAAGTACTAGCTATTTCTTGTAATTATATTACAAACCCGTTTGAATCGACCTATCATCATCTTTTCCCTCTATCAACTCCACTAAGTGCATACTTAATGAAAATTAACATCAGCAAAGAAAGATAAAGAAGACGTCAGTGCTTATCTAAAAATCTGAGAATGCGTAGCCAAATTTATTCACATGATGTATCCAAGTCTTTCAATTAAAAGAGGGCTTAATGTCTGTCTGTGAGGCAGGGGTGAACTGGCACTTTGTTTACGCTTGTCTTATTTAGTAATGCCCATTGAATGCTCTTTAGCGATCAATAAGTTGCAACGATGTTTCCAGACGTCATTGTATAGTTTTTGGTAGAAAAGAAGCAGCGAGCATGAAACAATGGAGAGGTATCACTCTTTATTGCCAGTTATTTTATGAATAATATCTATCAGAGAAGACAAGATTCTAGAATGAATGATATCTGTATAGCCATTGGAAGCATTGGAAGGTGATGCAAAGATTGTGTTGAGAACATCCTCTAGTTCAGTTTAGTGCGCTGTATATCTGGTTCTGTATGCAGAGCTTAGCTGGTCAACCAAATTGTGTTTGGTAGCCAAGATCGTGTTTATAATATTCGAAGAATACGATAGACAAGTCTAAATATGGAAAGCAGTTTCAATAGCGTCATTGCAACCTACACAAGGCCAGTGTTCATATAAGTCAGGTCATAATAATGTGAGGTGTGACAGTGTAGGAAGTTCATCGATGAAGTTCTTAATAATGAATGATTTGAGCTTATATGAAGCAAAGGATGTGAAGAGGGAAGAGGTGTTCATCGAAAAAAGTTTTCAGATAGCGAACCAATTGATAGATTTGTTAGTGGTGAGTACTCTGAGTTCATCATTCCTGTTCAAATCCAGAAAGTTGCTGAAAGCTTGTGCAGCAAATAATTGCTTAAGAAAACTTCTAATAGAGACCTCGATAGTAATATTATCAAAGCAAAATGAAAGATCTGACGAGGGAACATTATTAAGTAACAAGGATAGAGAAGGTGTATTGCGTCCTTCTTTAGCTAACCTATCTGCTATTTCATTGTAATGATTACCAGCGTGTGCTTTGATTTTGTGAAATGAAACTTAGAGGTTGAGGTGATCAGTGATATATCAGATCATATTCCAGATCATGTAATTAAAAACTTTTTCAAGCTTTCTCAGAGAAAAATGATTAAAGAGCACATATTTGTTAAAACCATGAATTGTTGCCTGACTATCTAAGTAGATGTCTACCTTTGCGTTGTTTGGAGATACTATGAGAGCGGTGAGGAGAGCATACATTTCAGCGCGCGTAAAGAGGGCCAATTTGTAAGTGAGGCTTTGAAGGTAGATAGACTGTTGTCAGGTTGTAAGCAAATCTAACTGAATCCTATTTTACAGTTTTCAGTCCGAGATCCTATTAAGGAGCCATCTGTGTAGAATGTTAAAGCTGTTATACCAATGAAGGTGGTTTGTAATTGTTTGAGTTTGGGTAAGTGCATTGATGGCTGGATAAGAAGGTCAATGATATTATCAGTGAACAGAATATTTGGAGAAGGGTCATTGTATGGTTTGTGAAAAATTGTGTTAGTGATATGAGAAATTTCCCTAAATGATTGTTTAGGTTAGTTCTTAACTGTATGTGATTATTTAGGAATGGTTTGAATTAAGTAGGCCATGGCGTAAGGAATACTAATGATGCAATGTCCAGATGAAACAGTCTGTCTACTAAGAGGACAACCAGAGCATTTAACTAACTGGCAAATATTGTTATTATTAGTGTTGTGGGTGAAATAGTGACAGATGAGATGGTTACTATTAAAGACATCAGCTATTATTTTTCCAAAGGTAGGACCATTAAGCGTTGGGTTTCAGGTTGATACTATTTCTTTTGCTTGGCTATTTAAGGTAGGCACTTGAGAAATGGTTTTGTAACATGGTACGGGGGAAGCTAGTCTGAATTCTGATTTGATCAATCTATGTGTGTGATTAACTAAAACTATGTTGTCTAATCTATAGAAAAAGTTAGATGAACCAAATCGTTTTGACTGGTGGTCAAAGTCTCTAAGAAGGAAGTCAGAAGTAGTAATTAAATGGCAACCTGTGAAAGAGATTAGTTGATCTAAAAAATATAAGTTATGATTAGTGAGAATCTTGTGATATTGTTTCAGTAAACTACTAGAAAGGATTTTTGTGATGGGTATAGTGCCTCCTGTAATTTTGTTCATGAGGAGGGGGAAAACATTAGTAGAGAATTTTGAGAATGTAGAGTTAATAAGGGAAAGGGAGGCACCAATTAAGTTTTTATGTGAATTTTTGTTGAAAGAATGTGGCCAAAAATTTAGGAGGGATGTAGCAAGAATATTGCTTGACTGTAATTGGTAAAGTCGAATTAATGAGATGTTCTTGTAAAGGAATGAGTTATTAAATTGGTAAATAAGGGTAGTTGAAAGGGATTTAATTTGCAGTGATCAAAGGTCATTTAAATTATAGAAATGTTTGAAGTTCAAAAGAGTGTTGGGGAGAGTAAGGGCGAATTTATTTTTATATTTGAAAAGTGAACGTATAGGAGCGAAAATTTTATGACATTCATTTTTCAAAAGGGGTGTCAGCTGCATACAATACTCTAACAGGAGACATAAAACCATATTGATAATATACAAAAGTTGTTTGTCTGTTAATGGTTTATATCTCATAGAGGTGATGAAATGGTTCACATTGAACGCAAGCTGTTTCTTGATGAACGATTGAGCTCTCTAGCTGTTAATCTACACGCCTAAGAAACGTAATGATCCTTCTTCAGAAGTAATATTGATAGTGGTTGAGCTAAATTTGATAGAAACAGGGAGGACATCAACATGGCAGGTCATCAAAAGTTTCGATTTGTCTTTGTTGAGTGCAGATCTGGTGAGACTATAAAATTCATCAGCAATGAGTAAAATTTCTTTTAGATCTTATTTGGAACTAGCCACCCAGTTTGTATCATCTATAAAAGCGAGTGACGAAACGGAAGCTGATATAGTGGAGGTATTCATGGAGGCGATATTGAAGATCCAAGTATGATCAATTGTATCCTTTATTAAGGGAGCCTACTTCGCAGAGTAAGGGATCCAGGTAGATACATCACATTAAAGGGGAAATAACTTCTCCTTGGTCAATACCTATCTTGAAATCGTATAAGTCAGTGGTTTTCTGTGCGGTAAATACAGCGTTTCTTCTTAAGGTAAAGAGGTTTATAATGAGTTCAATAGCTAGAGTAGGGACTTTGATCCTGTTTAAGACAAGACGAAGGTAGGACAAGTCTACACAATCGTAAGCTTTGAAAATTCTTATAATAAAATCCAAATTTCTTTATTGTTCTCGATAGCATTCTCTAATAACATATTGATAATTTTTATAGGTGGTTCCGTTGATCCTCCTGGCAATTCAGCGAAGTTGCCTTCCTTGAGAATGTTGTGGTTGGCTAAGATGCGGAAGAGTCTATTGGTGATAATCTTAATAAGGCCTTTACGTGCAGTTTCGAGTAGCGTAATGGATCTAGTCTTGGTTATGTCACATTTCCATTCCATAGATTTGAGAATGGGATAAATGTAGGCGATTTTCCATTCGTTAGGAATGTCACCTATTGTGAAGCACATGCAGATGAGTTTCCAAAGAAGTCGCTGAAGCTTGTCTCCAAGGTAAGCAATCATTTCATTGGTAATACCAGAGGGACCAGCTGCTTTATTATTAGGAAGTGTTCTAAGGACAGCAAGCCATTCATCATATGTGAGAGGTTGCATGAGATTGGAATAGTGTTGTTCATTAACGTAGTTCTTTGATTTATATTGTTCAGACTATCTGGGAGGCATAGGGTACGCTGAGGTTGAGGGAACAGCGAAGTTTTGGAAATGATTAATTGTGGCACTCTTGATTTCCTCTGGTTTGATGGTAAAATATTTGTCATCTGAATTCTTGTTCGTGATAAGTAGTCGATCGAGTACAATGGATCATTTCTTCCAATTCAAGATAGAGGCAATCATTTAGAGGGGTCATCTTGCAGGTTATCACATTGCTTGTTTATAAAGGACTTGATAGCTGATTCTTTCCTTTTTTGTATTTTGAGTTTAGCTAATGCTATTAAGGATTTGTGGAGATCTTTAATTTTTAACTTGACGTTATTGATGTTATCAAGTCGTAGAGCAGTAGGAAAAGAACATATGGGAAGTTTTAATTCAGTGATCAGCTTTTCTATACTGTCCTTGATATAGAACCATTCAAGAGGTTCAGGTCAGCAGTTTGTTCGTAAAATTAAGTCTTTAAACTGGAGCAGGAATGAGCCAACTTTCCTGGTTGCAAAGAATGAGAGGGATTGGTCAAGAGGTCATTTATCATTTTGTTGCGGGGAAATCCAAACTTGAGGTACAGACCCCCGCCAAAAGTTTCCGAACGTCATCTTTCGGCTATTTCATACCGAATACATCATATGACTGTATAATACTGCGGTCATGTAATGTACCTGACCTTGTTTGCTTGAATCAAAACCAAATAAAAGCGTGTTTGGTTTGTTTATTTTGATTTTTAACCAAAATAAAATTTACCTTCTGAAAACCACGAAAATGTTCAAAGAACAATGCGGCAGTATATATTTTGCCGTCAACATGACAATAGTTACTGGGCTATTGCCGCAAATATCGGTTATGGATTTTTAATAGCATTTAGAACTTTAAAAAGAATGGATGACACTGGAACCGTTAATTCGAGACTTCATTCTAGTTGACCATTCTTAATTAAAGATTCACAGCAAAGCCAGCTGAAGCGATTTATCGCAGTGAATTCGGGCTGTGATGAAGCAAATAAAGGCCTGACCAAGTACTAATTATTTAGTACCAAATATGTAGCATATCGTACATTAATAAATAAATTAATAAATTTTTTTAATAAACTTTAAAATTTTAAGTTTTACATTGAGCCAAAAAGCGTTCGAAAACTTTTAGCAGGGGTCTGTATTACCTGTAGGTCTTACAAATTATTTTATAAAATATGATAATGATAAAATATATGGTGATGCATGTTATCATTTTTTTGTGAAATTTTATTTGAATCATGGAAATCACATAGTATAGCTCATATATACCATGTAGGATTTGCTTGAAATGCATGTATTTTTTTTTCAGAAATACAAAATTTTTTAAAAGCAAATTCAACTACATGCAATGGAAATAAATTTTAAATATTTTGGCAATCATGCGATGATTTTATTTATTTAGGATTAACCTTAATTTTGTTAATTTAAAATTGGCAAAATTTTTATTTAGATTATCCTTTATGTTTATGGATATTTTCTACTGCTTTTCTTGAACATATATTTGGTTATACATAATGAATTATCGAAGATTTTACTGTATTAGATTTTTTATTGATGAATAAAAAAATTTTAAAAACTATTATAATTGAAATGAAAGGTTTGTAACTTAATTAAATTTTATCGATTATTAATTAAATAATTTAAATATTAATTTATAAATACAATTTTTAGGTGACTTGATTAGGTCAGATAATAATGATGAATATAATATTAAATTAATTACAGCTAAAGAAAAATTACCAGAAAATTTATTAAATTTTCCATTAATTTATGAAATTGATAATATGATAACGAAGGTATATTATATTATTTACTTTTAGTTATTTAATTATAAATTATTATTTATTTATTACTTATTATACTACTATTATATTACTAAATATAAAGACTTTAAACACTATGAATAATATACTTTATAACCTTAATATAAAAGTGAATCAAAATTTTTCAGCACTAATTCAGAAATCTTTATATTCACTTAAAAAAGAAAGTAATCACAATATTATAGTAGAGACAACTAATTCTGATAATAAACTTGACATAGAAATAGAATTAGCAGAATCTAATCTATTAGACGAATTATGTAATATTGGTGAGTTATTACCTGACATTAAAAGCGAATATTGGATTAATCTAATTTACCTGAAAATATTAATTTTCCTAATGATAATTTAAATGAATTAATAATGAAAATATATAATCAACTTCAGAATTAGTGTTTGCAAAAAGGATTTTTTGAAAAAATGAATAGAATATTCAGAAAAAAACATGAAATAAATCAATTAACTGTAATGCAAATTATGTCTGATTGTTGAGGTAACTTTCTTTTATAAATTTTTATTTTTTTATTTCTAATATTTATAGTTTATTTGTTTAAATTTAGAATGATACGATCAATATACTCAAAAAGAAAAAAGAAAATTGAAAATAAAGTTACATTTAATGAAAATAATCTTGTAGTAATTCTGAATTAGGTACAATAGATATTATAGCAGCTGTTCATCAAGATCAGTTAAGTAATACTAAATAACAAATAAGGATAAAGGGACAAATTACATAATAGAAAACTGCATGTAAAAAGGTTTTTAATTCTATAAAATAAATTCACAATCTTTTAAATTTAAGCGAGAAGATTTTTATTACTATTGTGAAAGTAGTTATTCTATTGTAATTGCTGAAATCATTGCAGTATTTGAGGTAAATTATTTAAATTTCTGTTAAATTTATTATATATCTTATATCCTCTAATTATTTTATTCTTCACATTATTCAAGAAATGTGAATCAAGTTACATCTATGTAGATCTATTTTATGATTTAAATGAAGGAAGAATTCACGCACATCTATATGATTTTAAGTTAGATTCAGAGCATGAATTCATTCTTATTATAAGCCAAAATTGCATATAATTCATATGTGAATCTAATCCATTTATATTTATTATACATTTAGGTTCTGTATCAGAAAAATATCATGATACTTCTCGCTGGTTAGGAAAAACAGTAAAGTTGAAAGAACTTTAATATGCAATATATTCTCATTTTATTAAAAAATCTCGTAAACTTGAGCAATCTATTAAAGAAGTAAAAAAAATCATACGAGCAAGAAAAAATAATTCTAATGATAATGAATAACTTTTAAAATAGTTTTTTTTTCTATTGAATTTATCAATAAATTTTATCGTATATTGTTATAGCTTTAATTAAACTTAGTTTGTATACTTTATTATAAAATGAAATTTCTATTTAAAGTTCTATAATATATAAAATAATAAATTTTAAGATTCGTATACACTTTATATTAAAATTTTGATGTACACTTATATGAATATCAAAGATAAAGGTTTATATATATGTTATACTGATATTTAGAGATTCTAAGTTAGACTTCATTATTAAAATGGGAGTTAGCAGTAGATAGAATAGCATTATCATTTGGTTAAACACAAAATGGTGAAAAAATGATACCAGTGATGATAGTACTAACTGTTGATGTATTCGATTCAGTAATAGACTAACTCAATAATGAAGTAGGACAAACACCTAGTTACCTTGATGATAATGATGAGAAAATGGTTGATTTCTTGGATAAGGTACATAAGAAAAGTATTAGCAATGAGATTAGAGAGAAGAGGCGAGAAAAGAAGTAGAAAAATCAAGAGGCACTTGTAATTTCTCAGGATGTGACTAAAATTTCTGAGGTTACAGATATATTAATTTTAGAGCAAGATGAGTAAGACTTATCACAATCTTATAAGATTAGTTCTGAAAACATAAGATCAGCATTTGCATTTTATCAAAGTAACTACAAGTTAGTGTATTCAAATTAGAATATAATCTTGAAAACTGTGAAGATTCTTTACAATTGGAGTCATATGACATTAAAGAATCTCAGTATAATGAAGTTATTGTCAAGTTGGATAAAAATATAATTGTGAAATAGAAGTTAAAGCAACAGTTATCATCATATACATATATATCTACATCAAATTAAACTTTAGAAGAACAGGATCCATCTTCAGATATTGCACAAAATATAGTTTGCATGTTTAGGAAAGCTAATAAGCTTGGTCAAGAAGCAATTTTATACTGGTGCTACTTTATAGAAAAATATGACAAAAGGATTGATAACCTTGTTGTTAGTGAAGTTAAAAAAAACTGTAATATCTATTGTATACTAAGAAATCAAATAGCTTTTACTTAATATAATAGGTATGAATTTACGTCAAAAAATCCTTAAGGCTAGAAAATTATATAAATTATTCAATATATTAAAAATAGAGAAAATTAACAGATCTCTTATAGTGCAAATGCTATTTTGAGTCTCAGTTATCCATAAATACAAAATATTATAGACTATGTGAATTTAGTAACAAGTTCACATAATGAAACTGTGAAGATTCTTCATAATCAAAGTTATGTAACTTCAAAAATTAATCTGACTAATATATTAAAAGTATCTTAATCTAAGCTAATTTATGATCGATCCTATTTTTGTAGCAAAATATTAGATTAATATTTTAATTTATATAGAGAATTTAGTAGTGAAAATTTGATTATTATGGCATTACCGATAAGATATCATGCTTATTATACAAATTAAATTATGATGAAGAAGAAAGTATAAAAGGTAGATATACATCTGAATTCTATTTTATTAAATATGAACAGTATGAAATTAAGATAACTGCATAGTTTCTATTTTATAATACTACATTTACTCATATTCAATATGCGATATTTTTTTTACAGGACTAATTCGTGTTAACTATTACTAAATTAAATTAACTTGCATTCATATAAAAAGGTAATATAACTAAGATCAATAAAATATTAATTTCTAAATACCTGGATTAGCATGCCAAATTAATTGGATTACCAAGTATTTTGACAGATAAGATTCAATCCAATTTATACAAAAAATATAAAAGAGAAATAGAACTTGAGCTATAGTAATTATCAGAAAGTCACCTGCTCATAAATTTAAAGCTAGAAAATAAAGTATCTGATTTATCTTTTTCTTAGCAATGTGAAGAAAAAGGGTCTATCACTTTTAAAACCAAACCTGATCCAAAAATAATTATCAAATCTATGTTAGAGCATTTCATATACCTGAAATTCTAAAATAGTTTTAAAGAAATTGATAATTATAATTTTGTATTACTTCAGCTGTGAAGCCTATCTGTGATGGAAAATATAAGAATTATAGATTATATAGCGAATAGTATAGAAATGGAACAAAATATTATCTTAGCTGTAACTCTTTAAGAAATAAATTCAAATTCGTGATTGTGACTTAGATCAGTTATGTAAAATCAATTATCTAAAAAAAATGTATAATACAATATCATTGTAAGGTTATGTAATGTGTGAATTGCATTATTTTTTACAATATTAAATAATTTCTATTGTGAAAAAAATAATATCAACCATGTCAGTTACTCATTAGAGCTTGATTTTTGAATCTTTATATTGTTTATTAGATTAAAACTGAACTCATCATATTTAAAAATATTTAAACCTTTCACAGGATGGGCTAGAGCATCTAATAATACATTGTGTTCTAATATACCAAATAAACTAAGTCTAGAAAATGTGATAAATAATCCATTTTTTTGCTTAATCAGATATATTAGAAAGGCGTATGGTAAATAGCCTAAGAAGGATAAAATGTTAACAAGCTTTTCAGTCTCAATAAAGCTTTTTTCAAGCATCTTCATCAAAATCTTTTTTATAATCCCATCTGTCATACAATTTGCTAGAAAACACATCATCATCTTTAATATCATCATCTTCATTGTCATTATCAAATAGCTAGATTTATCATCATTATCATCAGTATCAATGCCTAACTCAAATTTATTATTACTATCACTAGGATCAGAAATGATTAGTAAGCTTTATTCCATAGCTAAAGAGATATTTACTAAGATATATTGATTTTTAATTTACATTCAAAAACCTCTTCACCTAGTCGAGCTATAACAATTTTTCAAATCAAATGCTAAAAAGTATAAGCAGTAAATGTTTAGTTACAGCCTGGTAATTGTCTAGATGAATTTTAATTTCTTTTTTTGAATCACGTGGATGGCTTAGATATCGTGCACAGTAAAACATCATTTATTCTTCTCTACAATAATACACTGTTATGCAGAATCTGCAGAATATTTTATATGCAGTTTTACATCACTAGCATATGCAATCATTATTTTTAGAGAATCTATTAATAATCCCAACCAAAAGCAATATTTTTGCATTAATATACTTATAAACTTTCTCTAAAGTTCTTGTATGTTCTATCTCACTTATTACTCATTTCTGAATTACGAATAAAAAATATATCCTGATATACATGCAGATTGTAAACAGAGTATTGTTAAAAAGAAATTTAAAATAGAAATAAAGTGATTAAAATCTATGATTTGCAGATTTTCAAATAAAATGATAAGTATTTATTATCCTAGTTTTGTTAACACAATTAACTACATATATGACTAATCACAAATTAATTAATTTTTAGAAACTCTTTATTTTGATAATACATGATAAATGGTAGGTAATTTTTATTTCATTTAATTTAATTAGGTTAAATTCTCATTTCAATACACAGTAAGACCTTTTGCTGATCATATTATTAGAATGAAACGAAAATAAATATATTACTATTATGATTTTTAGCAGTTTTTCAGTCACAAATAAACAGTATATTATATTTGAAAAAGGGTTAGAGCATTATTATAAGTTATTCACATAATCAAAAATATAGATTATAGTTAACACATGTATCTTCTTTTTTTCTCATCTAGATTAGTCTGCTTATTAATGATTATAGGTTATCAGGAAATTTGTGCTAATTGCTTCTGATATCTTTATTTTTAGAATGGCTAATTTTTCGCAAAATAATTATGCAAATTTATATGATATTTTTTATAAATACTTTGCCTATTTTTTTCTTTCACAATTCAATTCTTATTAGAAGAAATATTCATTATAAAACAACTTTAAATCGAATTGCATCATAAATAAATATAACTCCTACCTTCTTATATACTCAAAATAAGAAAAAAAATATCTTTTTCTTTACTTTTAATCTATACATTATAAGCAGTTTACTGAAGTAAAAAACGTCTCATTAGATATATATTATAGTATTATAGTTTTTTCTTCAGTTTACAGGTATCATTTTTCAGACATGAATGAAATAAGTAAATAGGAATAGGAGAAAAAGAGCTTTATATATTATAATATATTTATACTGTATATACAGTGGTTACCAAAAGAAACGCAAGTGTGATTGGTTACCTTTGAACGGCTATAACTCATCAACCACAAATGCTAGAAACATGAT